TCCCTAAATCGTCAAAATATAGCCTTCAAATTTATCAAATATATTTATGTACACATGAAAGATATCACGCTGAGGAAGGGTGAGGCCCTCGCGTGTTGCCCTCACTTCGTGCCGTGTTGCCCTCACTTCGTGCCGTGTTACCCCCACTCCGGGCCGTGTTGCCCTCACTTTGTGCCGTGTTACCCTCACTCCGTGCCACTTCGTGCCGTGTTGCCCTCACTTCGTGCCGTGTTGCCCTCACTTCGTGCCGTGTTGCCCTCACTTCGTGCCGTGTTGCCCTCACTTCGTGCCGTGTTTCCCTCACTTCGTGCCGTGTTTGGACCAAAACGCGTTTCAGTGCTCCGAGTAAAAAGACTGTCACTATTTGGACAGTATTATCCATTCATTTTTATGAGTGCGTGTTGGTTAAAGTTCATCTCTCCTGGCGAGGGCGGGTGAGGAGATGAGGGGGTGATGGGGAAGGGTGGGGGAGCGTCTCTCCCTCAGAGGGTCAGTGCCGCGTCAGGCGTCGCGGTGTGTGGATGTGCGTCGCTCTCTGCCACTGTAACTGCACTTGCCGCATTCTAGTTAACAGGTAACGGCCTAATGCCTTTCACTTTTCCATACTTCCTTTATATTTGTAACAAACTAAAAGCAATATTTCTTATAATTAAATAAATGCTGGAGCTACGAGTAGCGCCGGCCGATGATCTTAAAGGTTACCAGCAGCGCTACGATGGCAGGTCGTGCGGTGGTCGTAAGTCCTACGACGGCAGGTCGTGCGGAGGTCGTAAGTCCTACGATGTCAGGTCGTGCGGTGGTCGTAAGTCCTACGATGGCAGGTCGTGCGGTGGTCGTAAGTCCTACGATGGCAGGTCTGGCAGGTCGTACGGTGGTCGTAAGTCCTACGATGGCAGGTCGTACGGTGGTCGTAAGTCCTACGATGGCAGGTCGTACGGTGGTCGTAAGTCCTATAATATTTGAGTTTCTTAAGCATGTTTAATTGAAGACCGGATAATGAGTTTTATTCATACATTTTTCATTAGTTTCTCAAAAAACTATTATTTTTCGTACATTAAACTTCTATGACGGCTTACTTGTAGATAAGTTATGGCTCTACATCAGCCATATATCTACATTTCATCAGCCATATACAGTAGCTGGCCTTCATCAGCCATAAAATTCGTGTCAATTATCCATCAAACTTACTCTCATTAGCCATAAACTCCATTTACCAGCCATAGAACGTTTTCATCAGCCATATAACTCACGTGCATCAGCCATAAAATTACACCCTTCGGCCATAAAAGCGAATTATGGTCTTGTTGTGCGAGCATAACCATAAATGGCAGGAGAGTGACTATGTGGACACTATATCTGTAACTTGACTATGGAAAAAATAATTCTATATTCATGACAGCAGAATGGAACTTTATATTTATATGTTCATTCAATAGTATGGTATAATATGTTAATTTGTTAAGGTGGACATAAGAAATAATCTATTGACATGTTCATATCCACATTATTGAACAGTATTTTCATATATTCATGGCTATATAATTTAATACATCATTTTAATTAGTATAACAATATATAGAATGTTAGTATAACGTAACTTCGAGCCCAATTTAGGCTTCAACTTCTCGGGCTATTTACACAAAAAATAACATCAAAAGACAAAAAAGTTCGCGCATAACTTTTGACGTTGAAAGATTGTGTTTACAGGGCATTCGTATCAAGTTATTTACTTAATTTAAGTTTACATGGATTTCAGAGTACATGGCCGTTCATTTCAGAACAATTTTCTTTCTTTTAATCTTACCGAGGCAAAGGATGACGTTAAATTGAGGATTATCACAACAGACTGATGGCCTCAAAACGTAAATTGAATTTAATGAGGAAATAATGTCCAGAAATACCGCGATAATTCCAAGATAGCGTAATTTTCTCCAAGAATTTGATCCTTTTCGGTTTTTTTTTTCTAAATCTTAGTTAGCATCCAAATACGATTCTAGATATATATAATCGCACACGTGATATACAACAATTATTATAAATATGATATAAGTGATATATGATATCTATACAGATATACGTGAGAGCACACATATACAAGGAAATGCTGATTCGTACTGCTTAATTATGAACTGGAGAATTGCTCAATTATGCCTACGGGTATTTCTCAATTAAAGCCATGATCATTTCTTAGTTATGTCCACGATCATTTCTCAATTATGTCCACGATCATTTCTCAATTAAAGCCATGATCATTTCTCAATTAAATCCATGATCATTTCTTAGTTATGTCCACGATCATTTCTCAATTAAAGCCATGATCATTTCCCGATTAAGCCCATGAACATTTCTCAATTATGTCCATGATCATTTCTCTATTATGATCATAATCGTTTCTCAGTTAAGAGTATGATCATTTCTCAATTATGTCATTCATTCCCAGTCGTCGTTATGTTAGTAGCATGAAAACCAACCCAGGCAAAAGAGAAGACGGCGATGTTTGTGCACATAAAAAAATCGCAATAATAAACTAATTAGTTTATTAATATAAATAAATAACGTCTGAGGATTATTTAAAGTGGTAGGTAATAATATAATTTTAGATTAATTAAAGGCCGACCAAGACTTGATAATTTGTGAAGCTTGAGGCAGAAACTGAACTCATACCTAACATAATATCATTATGAGACCATCATTGTTCATTTACATAATGTCATCATTACACCATCTACATAAAATCATCATAACATCATCTATATAATATGATATACATAGTAATATCGTTATAATATTATAACAATTTAGTATAGTTTAACAGAAGTTGTTATTTACTGCAGGTTCGATTGAAGACCAAAGATTTAATTATATTAACAATTTTCTTTTAAGTTTACAATAACCTCAGCTTGTCATGCCACAATAATTCATCATCAAAAGCTGATGACCCACACAGGAGCACAAAGTACATCACTATATTGCAGGGTTGGCAATGATTAAATCAAAATGATTAAATCATGTGATTAAATCACTTGATTTTTTTTTATAAAAAAATCATGATTTTTTTATTTTTTTTTTATTTTTTTTATTTTTTTTTATTTATTCATATATTTAAATATATTGAGTGGCAGTCTTTAAGTGGCAGTCTTATATTGAGTGGCAGTCTTATATTGAGTGGCAGTCAGTATAGAAGGTAGAGTCTGGTAGATTTATAGGACATAAAACTAGTAGATCTATTGATAGTGCTGTGCACTGTGCTATCAGCTACCTATCTGTTATGTGACTCTTCAATGTTCAGAAGATCTGCATTCCTGAAGTTTTTTTGTATATTGAAGCCAGTTAAATGGTCAATATTTAGCTTATTACCTTGCTCCATACAAACTTTACAAAGCTAATGAATAGACTTATCAATATTTGTTTACCCAAAAATCCCTCAGTGGTAAACACCACCTTGGCCTGTTGGCCATTATTGAAGGTAATAAGTGCCCTTTTTAGCCATCCATTATGATCCATATACTGTTATTGTTAGTATGCTAATTTCAACATAAAAAATAACACTTAAAAAACAAAAAAGTTGAAAAAATAAATGAAATCAAATAAATGAAAAAAATCATGAAAAAATCGAAAAATTCATTGATTTTTTATTTTTTTTGATTTAAAAAAATTAAAAAAATTACCAACCCTGCTATATTGACAATAGCTCACTAATTTATATGAGTGTCGTGAATGATATGAAACTGTTTATGGTGGCCAGCGATCAACCGGCCATAAATTTGGCCAGCGATGGGTCGGCCATCCATAAATGCACGTCTCGTTGTAATTAGTCACCTGACATGAAGAAATAGAATTTATTTCCTATCACTAAAGTCGCCGTATGGGGTTACTAATTAGCTGCATGTTTATCATCGATGGCATCGACGAGTGAGCTGACAAATGAGTCAATATCATTGAACTGAATAAATAATTTGTATTCATTTAGTTCAACGATATCAATTAATGAGTTTTTGTTGGATAATGAATTGAGCTTAGAATTTTTTTAAATTATATTTCACGTGCCGGTGAAGTAAAACATGAATAGATTCTATTCATGCTTCAATTCACTAGCATGAATAGAATTACATTCATGTTTCCATGAAATCACATTCAAGTCAAACGATCTGAAAATTCATTCAATTTTTTTGTCAAAATAAGTCCACGACTAAAGCATGACGACATTAATAAAATTTAAAGATATTTTTAGAATATTTAATGTATGAATTTTTACATGGTGCGATGTAATCTTCTCTTTCGATTGCCTGAGGGTAAAGATTGCAGCTGCTAACATATTAAAGGCCTTCTAGCAAAATAAAAAAATTATTCTTTATAGTTTTTTTTGGAAATTTAAAGGGAAACTGAGAGGAAAAAAGCGGCGATAGTCGTTATCGCTTTCTCGGCGCTGTGACCTTCACGTGACCCCGACCTGCTCAACAAGGTGACCTTGAGGTCAAAACATCTCCTGCTGTTATCAGTGTCGTGGCACCTGTTATCAGTGCCGTGGCAGTTGTTATCAGTGCCGTGGCACCTGTTATCAGTGCCGTGGCAGTTGTTATCAGTGTCGTGGCAGTTGTTATCAGTGCCGTGGCTGTCTCTTATACACATCTAGATGTGTATAAGAGACAGCGTATCAAGTTATTTACTTAATTTAAGTTTACATGGATTTCAGAGTACATGGCCGTTCATTTCAGAACAATTTTCTTTCTTTTAATCTTACCGAGGCAAAGGATGACGTTAAATTGAGGATTATCACAACAGACTGATGGCCTCAAAACGTAAATTGAATTTAATGAGGAAATAATGTCCAGAAATACCGCGATAATTCCAAGATAGCGTAATTTTCTCCAAGAATTTGATCCTTTTCGGTTTTTTTTTTCTAAATCTTAGTTAGCATCCAAATACGATTCTAGATATATATAATCGCACACGTGATATACAACAATTATTATAAATATGATATAAGTGATATATGATATCTATACAGATATACGTGAGAGCACACATANGTCCAATTTCTCGGTCCCCTCGTCCAATTTCTCGGTCCCCTCGTCCAATTTCTCGGTCCCCTCGTCCAATTTCTCGGTCCCCTCGTCCAATTTCTCGGTCCCCTCGTCCAATTTCTCGGTCCCCTCGTCCAATTTCTCGGTCCCCTCGTCCAATTTCTCGGTCCCCTCGTCCAATTTCTCGGTCCCCTCGTCCAATTTCTCGGTCCCCTCGTCCAATTTCTCGGTCCCCTCGTCCAATTTCTCGGTCCCCTCGTCCAATTTCTCGGTCCCCTCGTCCAATTTCTCGGTCCCCTCGTCCAATTTCTCGGTCCCCTCGTCCAATTTCTCGGTCCCCTCGTCCAATTTCTCGGTCCCCTCGTCCAATTTCTCGGTCCCCTCGTCCAATTTCTCGGTCCCCTCGTCCAATTTCTCGGTCCCCTCGTCCAATTTCTCGGTCCCCTCGTCCAATTTCTCGGTCCCCTCGTCCAATTTCTCGGTCCCCTCGTCCAATTTCTCGGTCCCCTCGTCCAATTTCTCGGTCCCCTCGTCCAATTTCTCGGTCCCCTCACCCAATTTCTCGGTCCCCTCATCCAATTTCTCGGTACTCTCATCCAATTTCTCGCTCCCCTCATCCAATTTCTCGGTACTCTCATCCAATTTCTCGGTCCCCTCATCCAATTTCTTGACACCCTGAAATAACAGCAGCACAGCGATACTCAAGTCTTCAAGCCACGCAATAAGAGCAATTTTATGTCATTTAAGTTTTCAAACGGGCGGTAAAAACAGCATGACGGAAAGCTTCAGAGCTTAAGTTGTATTTATCGCAAAATTAATTGAATTTCTTTAATTTCCTCGCTTATTTTAGTGGTATAAATTAATGCAAGGAGAAAATCTACGTAAAATTGTATTGTAATGTTTACTGACGCTGGCCTCTTCGACTATTTCGATACGAATTTAAGTGCAAGCTCTATTGATATCCAATTAATCATCCCAACTTGGGAGATACGATTGATAAATAATTTGATTGATCAATAATTTGGTTGATTAATAATTCTATTGAACAATAATACGATTTGTCAATTATGCGATTAATCAATAATACGATTTATCAATGATGCGATTTACCAATTATATGATTATTAAAATACGATTTATCAATAAAATTATAATACGATTTGTTAATTATGCGATCCATCAATTATACGATTTATCAATTATACGATTCATCAATTATAAGAATTACCAATTATAGGATTTAACAATTGTACGATTTATTAATTATACGATTCATCAATTATACGATTTCTCAACTATACGATTTATCAATTATAAGATTTACCAATATTACGATTTAATAATTATACGATTCATCAATTTACGATTCATCAATTAAATGATTTATCAATTATTAGATTTATCAATTATCCGATTAATTAGCAGCGTTAGATAACGCGTAAGCCCGGCCTATACATTTTTCCGAGCATCCCTTCTTCTTTGCTGCGCAGTACAAAAGTTTTATACGCGAAAAAAATACGTGGAAGAGTCCAGTGAATTACGTTCATTGAAGCGACTAAGTTCGTAATAGCTAAATATAATCAATTCAATTTGTGGAGCAACCGTCTGGAAGGTAATGTATTGATCTGCGCCATAAGCTTCATTTGCCAATCTATTATCATTCAGGTAAGAATAGCATTACGAAACATCCAGGATTTTGTTCCAATCGAAAATAAGCTGTACGTATAGCACATATGCGAGAATCATGCATCCAGCGTATTTTTTTACTTGGGTTCATTCATTCATTCACTCATTCCTCTATGTTTATATCAGTTTGTTTCATAGGTTGTTTGTTATACCGCTAATTGTTTTAAACACGTATAGATTTCAACAGTTGTCAATGGATAGTAATAGATGCCTATAGATATTAATGGAAGTCGAAAGAGATTTCTTTATAGGTCAATATATGTCAATAGATGTTAACATATGTCAATGGATAAAAGTGAGTTATCTAGGAAGTGAGGGCACAGCAGTTAACTAGAATTGAAGATGAAAAATTATATATATTAATTATACACGTTCTGATAGTAATAATAAATGTTTGATATCGAGAGACTCTTGGACTTGAAAATTACCAGCCTGATAAGTGGCAAGCCATTCCCAGCTGTGGCAGTGCAGGTGGCAAGCCATTCCCAGCTGTGGCAGTGCAGGTGGCAAGCCATTCCCAGCTGTGGCAGTGCAGGTGGCAAGCCATTCCCCGCTGTGGCAGTGCAGGTGGCAGGCCATTCCCAGCTGTGGCAGTGGCAGTGCAGCTGGCAAGCCATTCCCAGCTGTGGCAGTGCAGCTGGCAGGCCATTCCCAGCAGCTGTTTACATTCCCATTCCTGTTTACAGTTGACGTAAACAACTTCGGGTGTCCCTGGTCCACCTCCCCTCTAATACATTCAGTTCGAGCCAAAGCCTTCAAGGTTATACACGCATACATTAACATAATTTAAGTATATAAATAATCATATCACATGTTACCTAATGTATCATGTGACACTCAACATATCATGCCACATCGTCCTCTCCATTAACACTTTCCTCTCTGCCAGTTGAGACATTACAATTATCGCTCCTACTTGAAATTATCTTGCTTTATCATCAAACTAAAGAAAAATTCGTGCACGGAATATTTTATCGTTGACGCAACAGGATACAGGTAATTTTTGTAAGGTATCGCAATAGTTGACTGGTAATTTCTCGTTTAGGATTTAATTAAGTCACCCATGATTAAGTCATTCGTTTAGTATTGCCTTGTATTTGTCATTGTTTGTTCCTCGACCGCACAGGCACGTGGTTCTTACAAGTCGTGTCTCGTCTGCTTCATAATTCAAGTGATCAGTGACTTTTTATATGGATCACGAAATATGTTATTTATGATTGTTCCTTACTTGTTTTCTTTTTGCGCTTTTCTTGTATGTTTTGTTGCTAATTTTGTTTTCTTCAAATCACGAGTTCTAAAATTTGAGCTTATATGTGCGTTACAAAATTACTCATCAATTGGAGTCCGGAGTATAACTTCTAAACGACACAAAAGTTATATCTATAATTTTCTTATATATTTGTATTTCGTTTTGTATAGGAAGGTTGTTTTGTAAGTACAGTTTTCAATCAGAACTTTCATTTAACCTCATTTTAGAAAGTTTATTTGTTGGCCGTACGATCATTGATTTAATATCTAGGGTCATTGAAGGCTCTGCTTTCATATTGTGAACGATGGAAAACCGTTCATTAATTTTGTTACCGTTTGATTAGTTCTGTTTTTAGTTTTCTGAGAATTGTGTTAATTAGTTATGAGGAATATTCTGGGAGACCAGTGGTCTGACATGTGCTCACGGCCAATCGTCCGGAGGTTTATTTCGGAGCAAGGCGAAGTCGAAGCTGTTCTTTGCCGCTAGACGTGTTGTGTCCTTATTTACTAATACATTTATTTATTTTTTGACATTTCAATGTATACATTTATTATTCATTTGTTTATTTATTAACTACCGATCGTAATTTCCTTAGCCCCGCAGTGTGCATTCTCCCTGACTGGGCTGAGTTCTCGTCCGCTTTGTACCTCTTTGAGCGTAACAGTACCAATTAAGTACCTGTAGTAAAGTGCCCTAATTTGTCGGAATAAAGAGTATTACTACCACCAGTGTTGACCAAAAAAGCAACTTATAACTTAGTGAGTGTTTTATCATTTAGTGAGTTTTTAATAATTTAGTGAGTGATTTATCATTTAGTGAGTGTTTTATCATTTAGTGAGTGTTTTACCGTTTAGTGAGTGTTTTATCGGTTAGTGAGTGTTTTATCATTTAGTGAGTGTTTTATCATTTAGTGAGTGTTTTATCGTTTAATGAGTGTTTTATCATTTAATGAGTGTTTTATCATTTAGTGGATGTTTTATCATCTAGTGAGTATTTTATCGTTTAATGAGTGTTTTGTCATTTAGTGAGTGTTTTATCGTTTAGTGAGTGTTTTATCATCTAGTGAGTGTTTTATCGTTTAGTGAGTGTTTTATCAAATAATGAGTGTTTTATCATCTAGTGAGTGTTTTATCGTTTAGTGAGTGTTTTATCATCTAGTGAGTGTTTTATCATTTAGTGAGTGTTTTATCATTTAGTGAGTGTTTTATCATTTAATGAGTGTTATATCATTTAGTGAGTGTTTTATCATTTAATGAGTGTTATATCATTTAGTGAGTGTTTTATCATCCAGTGAGTGTTTCATCATTTAGCGAGTGTTTTATCATTTAGTGGCTGGATTTCCACCCTATAGGTGGCCGTCCTCTAGACGGTAAGAACGTGAGTGTCCGGTCATAATATTAATCAATAACGAATAATAATTCATTGAATGAACCTAAATTCCTTCATGCCGGCAGGGACTTCCACGGAATACTTTTTCAATTTTCATTTTCATTTCTTGCCCTCAACACAATTATTCGGAGTTCGCTCCCCCAGGCAGGTTCTGCTCTTAACTGCGTTGATATTTTATGTCTTGCTCGACGCGAGGGATTAACGTTGGCAAATATCCAAAAATACAGATAACTCCGTCACCGTTCAAGAGCACTTATGAGGTCAGATAACTGCTGTCAGAACTAATTTTGTATATGCATTTATTACTGATAAATGTAGATATTAATAACGAGAATAACGCTTTAGAGTCATTTATCTTTTGTTTACGGGAACATTATCCGTCGTCAATGCTAAAATATAATGTGTAGTAAATATATTAATATATATTAAGGCCTAGTAATGAACATTACCTGCAAGAGACATTGTGTTAATAAAGTCTAATAAATTATATCGAGTCAGTGTGCTGCAGGTATTGACAAGACATCGTATCGTTACAGAGCTGCAGACGCTGCAAGGGAGACCGGACTATCTGCTCACAGCAACAATAGGTAAGTAATAATTAATTCTACGATGAAAAATAATAATTAAACAATATAAAATAATAGAAAATTATATTTAAACAGTTTGTAAATGATAAGAGGTAAATAAGTGAACACGGACCAGGTTTGGAAACAGCGATGTTGAGATGCTGGCGAAATGTCATTAATAGACCAAAGGGATGGGAGGATGTGAGGGTAGGAGGATGTGAGGGTAGGAGGATGTGAGGGTAGGAGGATGTGAGGGTAGGGGGATGTGAGGGTAGGAGGATGTGAGGGTTGTAGGAGGATGTGAGTGTAGGAGGATGTGAGGGTAGAGGATGTGAGGATAGGGGGATGTGAGGGTAGGAGGATGTGAGGGTAGGAGGATGTGAGGGAGATGTCCTCATCACGGACGACCGAAAACATTTTGGTCAAACTTAAGACTTGAGTTTTCGAGTTTGTCGCGAGGCAATCGAACTTTTCTTTGCTGGGAAATACAAGATCTTTCTGATAAGTTGCTCCCGCAGAGTTTGTTACAAAGATATTTCAAAAATTTCCTGAAAAATATTGCGCGATCCTTGAATTACCTTTTTCTCTGATATGTCAAAATAAGATGATCAATGGATACGTCAATAATAAGCTAATTAAAAGGATAATATACCGCCAGAAAAAAAAACAGTAAAAGAATACAAAATATTACAAGTTTCAAAACATGATGGTTTGAGCAGCACATACTCACGTCCCGAGGGAACACGAAAGCATTTGCCCTCACATCTCGGTCGTGAAAACAATTTTGTTATTCTTTTTTTTTTTTGCCAAAGTTGATTTTTGAGTCTTTGAGCAACAAACTAATTTGTTTACTCGTACCACCGAAGGAAAATGTGAACACTTTATTTTTTCTTTAAAAATTCATGCCTCTAAAATTTCGTCTTGTTTTGTATCGTGTACTTAAAGTTTCAAGTAGACCAGTTTATAGATATGAATTTAAATATGAACTCTGCAAAAAATGAAAGTAGTTGATTGCATAAATAGAAAATAATCAGCATATTTTTGCAGTAAAATGAGCGGGGAAAAAAACGAGTAGATTCTTGCATATATATCAGGAAAAATTTCGGAATAATAGTCGCAAAAACAATGCAGGAAAAAATGAGAGCTGAACAAGAGCGGTAGTACATATATGTCAGGGTACGTGTTATGTTCACATGCGTTTTGTTTGTTCAAAATTGATCATGTTACCAATGAAATTCACTCTTAAATGTCGCATCAAGGCATATTTTTTAATAATTCTTTAATATAAAGTTTGGTTTTATTTGAGTTACCATAAAAAATATCGTGAGGTGGCGGCATGAATTTTTTTTCTATTTTGATTCCAAAGTAAATTGAAAAAAATGAATTTTGTTATTTTGTAAACTACATTGAAAATTTGTCATTGAGAAATATTTTAAGTTTGATAATTTTTACATCATTTTTTCATCGTGCAGAAAAATTTGAGACTTGCAAATAATTTTGTTTGAGTTATCGCCCAGTTGACCCTCTTCAAACAACTGCTAAGATCTAAGGTGTTGCCAACAGCTGAACGCGGCGTCAAACTTGATTGGTTTTCCCTCGAGATTTGGACCTTCAGCGGGATTCCCTTTGAGTACGACAAAGTCGTAAGCTTCTGAGGGATTGGTGGCAATCCCTGTGGGGTTTGGATTGACAACACCGGCATGGGTGTGATTGCTTCTCGCACTCCACTTTATAGAGGTACCTGAGGAAAGCTCTTCGTAATCGTTCCCCTTTCCTAACCCTTCAAAGGGCTATTTAACCCTTTACGAGTGCATATAAAACATTAACAGAAGCACTTACCCCTTTAACGGGAGAAATTAATATTTTATGGGTGTTTTTATCCATGTTACGTGCGCAATTAACACTTTAAGGAGTGCATTTAACCCTTCAATGCCGCATTTAGCTTCTAACGGGCGTATTTAGTCCTTAAATACGTGCATTTAACTCTTGAACACGTGGATTTTACTATTAACAGGAGCAGCCAACCCTTCAAAGGGCACATTTAACCGTTTAACAGGCAGTATTAATGCTCTAACGGGCTCATTTGTTCCGTTGATCTCACTCATGCTACTTGTCTATTTACCAGCATGATCGAAAATTCTGCTAATTTTATTGGACGACTAAAATGGAAAATTATATTCAGTTTTGATGAGAACGCAGCAAAGATGCCTAGCTGTAGGATATTGATTTATTTAATTAATTTCTGTTTGCAACTAACGACATAACAGCTATTAATATTTGATTAAAATATAGTATCAACTGTCATCGGAGGCTGCAGAGCTGCACTGAGTCTGTGCAGAGTTACTTACAACAAATTTCACTATTTTCGGAAGAGCAGAAAACGAATTCGCAAAATAATGAGAGAAAAGGAATATTTAATTTCACGGAAGTAACGCAATTTCACGGGAGTAACGCAATTTCACGGGAGTAGCACAATTTCATGTGAGTAACGCAATTTCACAGGAGTAACGCAATGTCACGGGTGGGGCTATAATGCCCCACAATGTCAAGGGTGGGACTATGTATAATGCACCACAATGTCACGGGTGTGATTTCTGTATAATGGCCCACAATGTCACGGGTGGGACTATAATGGCCCACAATGCTACGGGTGAAACGACGATGACCCACAAAGTTACGGGAAGGACTAAAAAGTCCCCCAATTTCCCGTGACGTGTCAGAAGTTGGGAAAGTTTGTGTGGCGGCCGCCCCCTGGCCTGAGGCAGCTGTGGGACTCAAGCCCCGACACGATCCCCAGGATAATTTGAGCCCCGAGTGGGGACGTGGGGGAGAGGGGGAGGGTTGAGTGGTGAGGGAGAAAGAGATGAGGAATTTTTTGGGACAAGAGGGGAATAGCGGCGGGAATTGGCGGTGGAAAGAAAGATATCGTCACTGATTTTTTCCTTAATGTAGGCCAACGATTCCAAACTTGGGTGGTGATGTGATGAGCGTTGGTGTGATGAGTGGTGGTGTGATGAGTGGTGGTGTGATGAGTGGTGGTGTGATGAGTTGCGAGGCTGGGGTGATCAGGCGAGGCTGGGGTGATCAGGCGAGGCTGGGGTGATCAGGCGACGTTTCTTTGTTCACAGTCTCCAAGATGGCCGACATCCGAGGCTGATTGCTTCATCCTAATCTTATTTTTTTTGCGTGGCTGACAAAGCCTGTGGCCGCGACAGCCTTCTTTCTTTTTATTTTGTTTTCATTAAAAAATTTTCACAGTTTAAATTGAAGCTGCGTCCTCATATGCATTTCCAGATTAGACACCATCCGCCCCTCTTCTTGGTATCCTTGTCAGGTATTTTGGACGTAGCAGTCCCAGGTCACGCCGTATATATATTGTATTATCCTGCCGTGCACTTCCTGCTGTAAACCGGCCGCGGCCTGCGCCGAATCTGAAACAGATTTACGGCTCCGATCCTGCTGCAAATTAGCTCTGCTGCTTTAATCGGTGCAGAATTTAGAGGCTGTTACTAATGAACTCGCTTAATTACACGTAACGGCCTATATAAGTACCTGTAACGGCTCAAGTACACGTAGCGATCTAAGTACACGTAGCGGCTCAAGTACACGTAGCAACCTAAGTACATGTAACGGCTCAAGTACACGTAGTGGCCTAAGTACACGTAGCGACATTAGTAAACCTAATTAAACGTGCACGTAGCTTCTCGTCTATAATATGTCGATTTAGCTTGATAAGTCGCCACTGATTGACTGACTCATAACCATTTTTGACAGCACGAGCGCTGCTCTGAATTATAACAGCGCAGGCCTGCTCTGTCCATCTCTGCCACGCATTGATCCATCCTCCTCAGCTGGCCACGACCAAGATCATTGAGATGACGTCGGTGTATGAAACACCTTGATAGTTTTATGCAAATTACTTAGATCTGAATTTGTGAGGTTAGTACAGGATATCTCAATCTTCCTGCACATTTTAGCCTTAGCAGAAGTTGAGAGCAGCACGGCAGATCCCCCCCCCCACCCCCCTTACACCCTTCCACACACGCCCCCCGGGGGTCCCC